TAGCCCCTAGAGCTGGCACTTTGAACTTGGACTTAAAGCCTCCAAATTGTAAGAATAAACTCCTGTTTGTTAAGGTCATCCCATTTGTGGTATATTTCTCATCAGAGCAGCACTAGGTAACCAGAACAGCACTGTATTGGAAGTCCTAGCCAGGGTAGTAAGGCAAGAAAGGGAAATCAAAGTATCAAAATTGGTAAGGAAGAGGTAAAATAATCCCTGTTTGCTGATGGCATGATCTTCTACCTAGAAAACCCACAAGACTCAGTCAAAAAACTACAGGAACTAATTGACAGATTTAGCATAGTGGTGGCAGGGTACAAGATCAACATCCAAAAATCAGTTGGATTCCTCTACACCAGCAAAGAGATTGCTGAAAGAGAAAAAAGGAAATCAATACCATTTACAATGTTGTTATGTGCAATTGAGTCAGACCAGACTCATAGTGACCCTTCCTTGGGTTTCCAAGGTGGTATCACTACAAAAGTAGATAGCCTAACCTTCCTTCCAAGGAGTGGCTGGTAGGTTTGAAACAACAGTCTTCTTTCTGGTTAGCAGTCAAGTGCCTTAGGCACTATGCTACCAGAGTTCCTCCATTTACAATAGCTACCAAAAAAATAAAATACTTGGGAATAAGTCTTACCAGGGACACAAAAGACCTGTACAAAGAAAGCTACAAAAGACTAGTTCAAGAAACCATAAGAGATCTACATAACTGGAAGAACATACCAAACTCGTGGATAGGAAGACTGAACATTATGAAAATATCAGTTCTACCCAAAGAAATCTATACATTCAATGCAATACCAATCCAGATCCCATCAATATTCTTTCAGAATATGGAAAAACTAATCACTAACTTTATATGGAAAGGAAAGAGACCTCGGATAAGCAAAGTACTATTGAAGAAGAAGAAGAGAATAGGAGGTTGCACATTCCCAGATCTTAAAACCTACTGTACAGCCACAGTAGTCATAACTGCCTGGTATTGTTACAACAATAGACATATAGACAAATGGAATAGAGAACCCAGAAACAGGTCCATCGACCTATGATCAGCTGATCTTTGACAAAGGGCCAAAATCCATTAAATGAGGAAGAGATTGTCTGTTTAACAAATGGTGCTGGCAAAACTGGATATCCATTTACAAAAAAAATGAAACAAGATCCGTACCTCACACCATACACAAAACCTAACTCCAGATCAATGAAAGACTTAAATGTGAAACCTAAAACTATAAAGTTCCTCAAAGAAAAACTAGGGGCAAATTTAGGGCCCCTAATATATGGCATAAATAGACTATCAAGCATAACCCAACATTCACAAACAGCAAAAGAGAAACTAGAGGAATGGGACCTTCCAGGAATTGAGTTTTTATGCACTCCAAAAGACTTCTCAAGAAGAGTCAAAAGAGAACCTACAAATTGGGAAGAAGTATTTGGCAATGACATATCTGACAAGGGACTTGTCTCTAGAATTTATAGAAAACTCCAACACCTCAACAACAAAAAGACAAATAATCCAATTAAAAATGGGCAGAAGATGTGAATAGACACTTCACCAAAGAGGATAACAAACATATGAAGAAATGCTCCTGATCATTAGCCATTAGAGAGATACAAATCAAAAGAACAATGAGAATACCATCTTGTGCCAGCATTAGTAGCAAAGTTCAACAAGACAGAAAATAACAAATGCTGGTGAGGATATGGAGAGATTGGGACTCTCATACACTGCTGGTGGGACTGTAAAATGATACAACTACTGTGGAAAGCAGTATGGTGATTCCTTGAAAAGCTGGAATTAGAAATACCATTTGACCCAACAATCCCATTACTAGGTATATATCCTAAAGTAGTGAGATCCAGGACAAGAACAGATATGTGCACACCCATGTTCATTGCAACACTATTTACAAGAGCAAAAAAGATGGAAACAATCTAGGTGTCCATCAACAGAAGAATGGATAAGAATGGTACATACACATAATGGAATGCTATGCAACACTAAAGAATAATGTAGAATCTGCAAAACACCGCATAACATGGATGAACTTAGAGGACATTAAGGTGAAATAAGTCAATCATAGAAGGACAAGTATTGTATTAGTCCATTATTGTAAAAAGTCCAGGAAAGGTTTATATGTGGAAGGAAATTTTATTTCTTGGTTACCAGGGGTGGGTGAGGAGGGGAGGAAACATGTTAGATAGATAGAGATATGTGTTGATTTGGGTGAAGAGAAGGGCAATGTACCAAATATGAGTGATCAACACAGTAGCATTGAGGAAGAGGAAGACATAGAGAGGTACATGGGAGGTACAGACAACAAAGATGAACCCTTTTGTACTGTATATAGTACTGCATAGTTAGTGAAGGAAAACATGGGTATACAGGTGGATAGAAGAGTGGACAGGTTGAACTATTAGGTATGTATATGCAGAAGGAGTGTGCCCATGACCATATATAGAGTTGGCAGATAATGTTTCTACAAGTTTATTTGTATTTTCTGTAAGAATGCCCAGGTATATAGTAGAGCAAACAAAGACAAGTTTGTTGTCACTTCTTGGGCACAGCCAGGTACCTAGAAAGAGCAAGTAGTTGGACCTGTGGGCTTGGGACCATAGTCCCAGGATATCTAGCTCAATTGGGATAACATACTACACAAAAACTTTGTTCCACATCCTTCTTTGGTGAGTAGTGACTGGGATCTTAAAAGCTTGCAAGCAGCCATCTAGATGCAATGATGAGTCTCTCCTTGTCCAGAGCAAGGAAGAATGAAGAAAACTAAAGATCATGGAAACAATTAGTCCAAGCAACTGGTACACCATGTGATCCTCAGCCTATACTGACTATGAGACCAGAAGAACTAGATGGTGCCCAGCTACCACTGTCAATTGTTTGGAGGGAGATCTATGTACGAGATCCTGGATAGAGTGGGAGAACAATGTGGAACAAAACTCAAAATCATTTTTTTTAAAAAAAAAAAGGACCCAGGTTTGCTGGTCTGATAGAGCCTGGTAGAACCCCTGAGACTATGGCCCCTAGCAGCCCTTCAGGTCTGGAATTGAACCTACTCCCGTGGCTTCCAGCCAAACAAAAGACAGGTATATGAGCCGAACATTTACATTAGGTAGGTACACTCCTTGGAGAGATAAATTATGGGAGAATAGAAGATCTGTGTGTGCACAAGGACACAGATTGGGGTCAGGAATGCATGTGAGAGAAGGACACAGGGAAGAGGTAACTATGGGGAGGAAGTGGGAGGGGAGCTGTTGCACTGTGGGAAACTGCAGTCAATGTCATGAGACAAAGTGTATGTGAGTTGCTGTATGGAAAGTGAATTAGCTCAGTAAACTTTCACCCAAATCATAATAATTTTTTTTTAAATACTGTTTATTCTATTTAAAGAAAGCCTAAAATGAGAAATCCATTCTTAAGGACTTTAATAAAAATTAATTGTGGAAATATTTTTAAAAGATTATCAAATATATTCTCCTGATTGGGAAGACTAGGGTTTTTCCTTTAAAATCTTTTGTAGTAGAGTTTATGAAGCAAACAGAAAATATATAATGAAGTCAAGCTTTTAAGAAGGAATGCCAAAAAAAACTACTGGGCGAAGAGATTAAGAGGCTAAGTTCACAGAGAGGGCTATTTCTTTTATAAAATTCAAGCAAGGTTTAGTTAGAGTACTAAGTCCCCAGTTATGAACGTCCAATTTAGGGACAACTCCTACTTGCCCTGTAACATTATGTAAATTTGCCTTCACTTCAAAACAATTGCACCAACCCCTACTCACAACAAATTTTCCATCGTAGTCACATTCCCTTGCTGCACGTGCCCCTTTTAAATCCTTGAAAAGGCCTCGAGCCTTTTCTTGCACTAAGACCAAAAAAAAAAAAAAAGCCAAACTCACTGCCATCAAGTTGATTCTAATTCATAGCAACCCCCATTGAGTTTCCAAGGCTATAAATCTTTATGGAAGTAGATTGCCCTATCATCCTTCCGTGGAACAGCTTGGGGTTTGAACCACTGGCCTTTTCATTAGCTGCCAAATACCTTATCCATTATGCCACCAGAGCTCTTTTTTCTTGTTCAAGTAAGGTGTAATAACTTTATGCACCTGTTCTGACTTACCACCACATCTGATTTAAAGACATATTTAGGAATGGATCTCTTTCATAACCCAAAAATTGCTTGTATTTAAATTTCAGCTAATAAGTTCAAGCATCAAATAGTCAAGATCATGCTTTGATGGTCACTGCTACTGAAAATCTGTAGCTGTGGCTGGCCATCTCTGGAGCAGAATGTGATGAATTGGTATAAATCCACATTAGAATGTGGGCACCATGTTTCATAGAATTGTTAATTTTCCATTGGTTATCATTGTGGAATTTATTACCCTTTTTTGTTTTTTAGGGCAGTATTTTCATTTTGAAATGGATTTTTCATTTCATAGTCTTAAGTACATGAGTTACTATACTGAAATTTGCTTTACTTTTCAAGGATAATTCATTGTATTATATGAGATACACCTTGTCTATAATTCTGAATGAAACCACTTGGCAAAACAGCCATAAAGATTGACAGTATATTTTGAAAATATTCAATTTAAGCAAAAGGTACTAAGAACATGTGCTTTCTTTCCATAGGACTAGTGGAACTTGAGTCATGTCTTCCAGATTTTGTGACACAACCCCGAATCAGACCTCTAAAACCAAAAGTCATTACTACCAAAGCTGGTTTCCTAAAGAGGGCAGCAAGAGTGGAACATGAGTTGGCAGAAGTTCATAAGGTATAATAGTTATCTCGAAGACAAGAGACTTCTCAATGTGACTCAAGAGAAATAGAAAATTCCAGACATTGCACTTTATCTTGGGCAGCAGTGTCCAATGTTTCTCAACCCAGCATTCTTTTCTCTTCCCCATACTTTTCTCTTCTGGAGTTGCCTGTGCTGTGCTGAATGAGTATGCTTTTTCTTCTCATTTCACACTCTGGGAAAACCTCTTAGATATTATTCTTCTAATTTGTGGAAGTCATATGACTTTCTGAAATTGTTTCCATCTTTGGATCTACGTAATAAGACCATTCGTCTGTCAGTATGTCATACTGTAATGGTTTGTGTGTTGCTGTGAGGCTGGAGGCCATGGCACTGGTATTTCAAATACCAACAGGATCACCCAAGGTGGATAGGTTTCAGCAGAGCTTCCAGACTACAACAGACTGGGAAGAAGGATGGGGCCATCCACTTCCAAGATAATTGACCACTGAAAACTTTGTGAATAGCAGCAAAACATTATCCGATGTAGTGTAAGAATATGAGCCCTTCAGATTGGAAGGAACTGAAAATAAGACTGCGGAGGAGCTGTCCTCTCAAAGTAGAGTTGACCTTAATGACATGGATAGAGTAAAGCTTTTGAGACCTTCATTTGTTGATGGGGCATGATGCAAAATGGGAAGAACCAACTAACTGCAAAGGTTCATTAATAATCAGAATATGGAATATCTGAAATATGAATCTAGGAAAATTTGAAGTTGTCAAAAATGAAATGGAATGCACGAAAATCAATATCCTAGGTATTAGTGAGCTGAAATGGACTGGTTAGAGAATCATACCAGGAGTGACAAATTGAAGAGGAATGGTGTCACATTAATCATCAAAATGAATATTTGAAGATCAATCCTGAAGTACAGTTCTGTCAGTGATAGGATAACGTCCATATGCCTACAAGGAGGACGTCAGTATGACTATTTTCAAATTTGTATACCAAGCACTAAAGCCAAAGAGGACAAAATTGAAGATTTTTACCAACTTCTGCAGTTTGAAATTGACCAAACATGCAATCAAGATGTATTGATTATTCTGGTGACTGGAATGCAAAAATTGGAAACAAAGGAGAAGGATCAGTATTTTGAAAATATGACCTTGGTGATAGAAATGACGCTGGAGATTGCATGATAGCATTTTGCAAGACCAATGACTTATTCATTGCAAATACCTTTTGTACAATACCATAAACAGCAGTTATACACATGGACCTTGTCAGATGGAATATACAGAAATCAAATTGATTACATTTGTGGAAAGATGAGATGTTGTTGTTGTTGTTGTTAAGTGCCATCAAGTCATCTCCAACTCCTAGTAACCCTATGCACAGCAGAATGAAACACTGCCTGGTCCTAAGCCAGCTCCACAATTCTTGCTACACTTGAGATCATTACCACTGCCACCATGTCAATCCATCTCGTTGAGGGCCTTTCCCTCTTTCGTTGACCCTCCACCTTATCAAGCATTACATCCTTCTCCAGGGAATGGTCCCTTCTGACAACATGACCAAAGTATGTGACATGAAGTCTGGCCATTCTTGCCTGCAAGGAGCATTCTGGCTGCACTTCCTCCAGGACAGACCTGTTAGTTCTTTTAGCAGTCCACAGTTCTTTCAGCATTCTCACCAATACTACAGCTCAAAAGCATGAGTTCTTCGGTCTTCCTTGTTCACTGTCCAGCTCTCACATGCATATGAGGCGATTGAAAATACCATGGCTTGTGTCAGGCGCACCTTAGTCCTCAAGGAGACATCTTTGCTCTTCAGCACTTAAAAGAGGTCCTTTGCAGCCGACTTGCCCAGTGCTATATGTCATCTAATGTCTGACTGTTGCTTCCATTGGTGTCGATTGTAGAACCAAGCAAAGTGAAGTCTTTGACAACCTCAATCTTTTCTCCATTTATCGTGATGCTCCTTATAGGTCCAGTTGTGAGGACTTTTGTTTTCTTTATATTGAGGTGTAATCCATACACCTAATTGTAGACTGTATTCTTCAATCTTCATCAGTAAGTACTTCAAGTCATCCTCACTTTCAGCAAGCAAAGTTGTGTCATCAGCATATCACAGGTTGTTAATGATTCCTGCTCCAATCCTGATGCTACGTTCTTCTTCATATAGTCCAGCTTCTCGGATTATTTGCTCAGCATACAGATTGAATAAGTATAGTGAAAGGATACAACCCTGACACACTCCCTTCTTAATTTTAAACCATGCAGTGTTTCCATTTTCTGTTTGAATGACAGCCTCCTGGTCTATGTACAGGTTCCTCATGAG